TCTTCTCTTCTCTTCTCTTCTCTTCTCTTCTCTTCTCTTCTCTCCTCTTCTCTTCTCTTCTTTGTGTGTGAAGGCTTATTTTGGCTTAAATGTTTGTAGAAGGACTAAGTGTAAATATCCCCATATATTTAAATTCATCCTGATGTTGTATCTAGGCATAGAATATCTCATTTTGCATATAAAAGGCTGAGTGCACTGTCTCACTTGTAGATTTTTGCCCAGCTGATTGAAGTATCATTAGACAAAGCTCATAAATAGCTATTAAATAGCTATTAAGAGGTAAAAGCCATGGAATTCTCAGAAGCAACACTGGGGAACTCTGGAGACAGATCTTGAATTGCTCTGGTTTATCGCCCCCCCCCCAAAAGATCAGCTTTTATAACTGGCTGATAACATTCTAGTGATGTGTTACAATAGGTAATAGGACAGCTCAAGAAAACATAAGTTATGGGCAAAGATGACTCATCTTTCTCTTTCCACACACATCAGTCCACTGGAGGGGATTACCCATGTATAACAGCAAGAGAATCTCTTCTGCGATTGGACCTAAAACTAATTTTATTCCTTATAATACATCCTGTGAGACTGTGATTCTCTAAGAACAGGAATCTGTTTAAACATCAATGCTGTGAGACTTCTCATTTATTTATATGTATAAATAAATCTTACTCATAGAATTAGGACTGTTCTCAGTGCTTCATTTTATTCCAACAAGGTGTTTTGAAGCTCGTGAGGGTGTGAACATAGCACCTGGCTAACAGCTTTAAAGCAAATGAAAAGATGTGATTGCTTTAAAGTTTTAAAGCACTTCACATGTGTTTTTGTTTCTCTGAAACACCTTTTCCAAATTAATTCTGAAGTGCCACCTGGTTATAGCAAAAATGCAACAGTTTTCAGTCCAAACTTAGGTTGAACTTAGCCTCTGAAAGGCATTCCAGGGCTTGTAATTCAGAAAGCTGGCAGGCAATAATAAGTAAGGACTGGAGGGAGTAGCTAGGACAGAATTTTAAATTGATTAAATTTAGTTTCAAGTTCAGTTGGTTTCATTAATTAAACACAGTACAGTTATTACCTGTGGATATTGTTACTTGTGTAGATAATCATTCTTTCTGTCACATTAAACATTACAATATTGGAGAAGGCTATGAAGGTTGCTTTCAAGGCTTTGTGAGAAAGAGAATCCTGGAGAAGATGGACATGTGGCCTGATCCAGCAGAACATTTTATATAAGCATAACATGGCTGTACCGACTGAGGATTTGTAGAGTTAATCCAATGCATATGAAAGTCACCATGCTAAGGAACATTGTAATACATTTTGGAGAAATGAAACATTGCTTGGATAATTTCAAAATACATAAGGAAATCAGATCATATGGAACTATGCTGAAGCAATCTTAGAAGGAGCACTGCTCATGCCACAGGTAATAGCTGTAAATGGAAGAGATAGTACATTGTACATTATTTGTGTTTACCACCTACCATACCATGTAAGAACTTGTAAAATCTCTTCGCACAAGATTCATCCTCATGTCCACCTAACTACAACATAAATATGCCTTGCAAACCATTTTAAAATAATCTGTCCTTATGACATTGTCTTCATCTCATCCCTAGCCTACAGCTGAGGAGCTTGAAGTCATCTTTAGTTATTCCAGTTTTAAAGTAGCATTTTCTCCTGACACCATATTTGCAGTGGACAGGATCTGGCACACTTAATTGACAATGTAACTGATGATTCAGGCAGAAGCTGGAATCTGCCAAGCTCTTATTGGCTGTTCCTGGCATACTTCCTCCTCTCCAGTCACTGGGAACTGGCACATTTTGACTTGAGCTGCAGGAGAGACCACATACCTGGCATCTGCAGAGACATCTCTCTGCATAATGCCTGACCAACGCTTTCTGGAGAACTTGACACATCTTACGCAGGATCTTTATATACAATGAATTAACACTGTTGTGAAAGAACACTGGATCTATTTTTTAAACATAGCTAAGAAATAGCCAGAGGAAAGACCAACTGCCTTGGTTCCAGGTTTTAAAGATGGCTAAAACTACAGGCCTAGCCCTCTGTCAAAATTCATCCCTTTCTACAAACCCAGCCACACCAGAATGACTGCTGGTTGGTCTTTTCCACAGTAGGTGACATTTGGCGGAAGCAGAAACGAAACTAGGGAGTCCATCAATCATTTTCCTTAATTTGTCCTACAGTGAAACTCTGAGGACAGAACCACTTATTGCTGTTGGTACAGTGGCAGAATAGGGCTCAGCCATCATGGCACTAAATTTTATGCCAGCATATTTTTCTGCCAGCTCAAGGACTTGTAGACTCCACTTTAGTGGTGTGCATTTAAATAAAGTGGCTGTCACTTTAGTAGTGGGATCAGCAACAAGTTGTTTATCAGCATTTTGTAGTGCATCGCTACTAAGAATAAGAGCTTATTGAAGAGTAAATTTTCTTTCTTGCTTTCTTGCTTTGTGATGCTGCTTCACATGCTTGCAGTTATTTTGATAATCCACTACAAAATAAAAAGTGTTTCTTACATTTAATCACTCAGAGGAATCATATTAGCCTGTGGTGCCAAAAGTGCACCTTTATACTGTACCTGTAGATAACTGCTATGTAAATCTCTAACTTTGTGGGGGAGCAGCTGGAGTGTTTTTAACTTTCTCATCTGAGCTATGTTTTCCTAATGTAATCCCCTTTCCTTAGAAGTAGTGAGTCACACAGGTGCACCTAGATGCCCCCAACCCGCTATGTTAACCACAGCTTCTATCTGATCACATCTGTTGGTTTTAGTCCCTAGACAGCTTACTGTTCTGTACTGGCACAGCAGGATATAGAAATGAGACTCAGAACTTCCAGTTGTAAGAAGTGAACACATTATCACCTTCTACTGACCTCCCTTTCCCTGGTGTGGGGCAGCAGGAGAAGTCATCAGACCCAAGATTTTGTGAAGCAACAGAAGAAAAGAAAGGGACCTTTTCCAAATAGGAAGATGAGAGGCCTGATTTGTCTCCAATCAGAAGGACTCCTTAATTAGTTAGACAATCCTATCTTGTGTCAGTCAGAACTGAACAGTTTCTTAAAGCATTCTTGCAGAGGATGCCATGCCAGCTTCAGGAACATGTGGTGGGCATTTAAATAAAATGTGTGCCCAGGAAGGCTCCCGGGCTGCAAAAATCCAGAAAGTATACTGCCTGCTCTGAAAATGGGAAGGTCTGTAGAGAAAAACAAAGATTGTTCTGTAGCATCTGGAATACACGAGGAATAATTTGGGCACCAAAATAACCAAACTGTCAACAAAAGATTTGGATCAGGAAATACTTTCACAAGAGGAAATATAGAGCAAAATCCAATTAATGACAACAATAGCAAACCCCATTCCATTCTAGCACTGAAGATGTTACCTAGCCAGGTAACGAAATGTTTGCAA